GGACTGACACTAAGGACCAGACAGGCCAATGCACATCTCTAAGGATGCCCGCAGAGGCCACCAAGACAACGTGAGCATCCCCTATCCCAGGCCGTAGCACTTGTAGGAAAAAAGGGATTAAATTAAATATTTCTGACTAATTATCTGACTCAAGTTCATTTATTCTTAAAGTACTCCCCTCATGGGGCTGGCATGGGGCTGGGAAGGTACAGGTATGCTATAAAATGTTATTATTACATAGGAAACAAGAAGAGGCAGAGGTTTGAGTTTCCAGCAGTGATGGTTTACGTTATTCAGACTGATCCTTCTGAGGAAGATAACGGAAAATGTTGGTTATGCCATAAAATAATCTAATTGAAAACAAGCAAATAGCTGACAAAATAGTAAGAAACTGCCAGGCCAAAATCTGGGGGGAAAGCAGGAACCCAGAGAGGTAAGCAAGCAGGAAGGCACTTTTATCCTTCTCGGGAGCCTATTTGCTGATAGGAGCACATCTGAACTGATTTCAACAGCCTCACCATAGAGGTGGAATAGAATCAAATCCCAGAACCCACCCAAGTGGAGAGAATAAAAAGGCCTTTCTCACATTAAGTGGGCTCCTAAGAGATGCACCCTAAAAATAAGAATGAAGCAGAATTAACCCACCACCCACTCTGAGAGACCACAAGGACAGTGGCCTTGGCATAGAAAGTACAGGTAAGGGGTGGGGGTCCCTGAGAGGCAATCACAGCTGACCCTTTTGTGCAAAACTACAACCTGAATTTATATCACCTGGGTGGTCTTAACAAAGTGGTGAATTTAAATTAAAGTGGTCCCAGGCTAGGAGTGCCACCAGGCATGTGGCAGAAACAAAGGCAAGTACTCTCTGCAAAAAAAGGCCATTCATTCTAAGCCTCAAATAATCCCTGCAAGCAATTTTTCAGCAGTAATGACAAATACCCAGTCAAAAATAACCAAGCACATAACCACAGACAGATAAGAGGGGAGAGTGGGGAATCCAAGAAAAATATAGATCCTAAGAGCAAATACACCCTTAATAAATTCTGTAGCCATTTACTCATTTCATTTATTCAACAAATACTGAGCCCCTACTCCATGCCAGGCTGTACGCCAGGCTGTATGCCAGGTGCTGCGCATATATGCTGTTTCAGCTGTCATATGAGCAAATCACCCATGGGCTAAAAGGTTGATTGAGCTACCATTATATTTATGATTATTTACCTGTAGTTTCTGAGTTTTCCCAAGACTTCCAAACATGAAGACTGATGAGTGTCCCTTACTATTTAGTGACAGATTTTGAAATAAACAGTGATCTCCTAGGACTAAGATTGACATCACCGGTTCCTTTCCCTGCCTCTCATTCCCTAAAGGTTCCATGTTCGCACTAAGCTTAATTATCTCCTAAGAAAGCCACAAAGCCACGTGCATTAACAGAAAAGTGATGAAAGACAATAACAACTGTCTCAGAGAGACAGAAAACTCAGAGTTAACTATATTCATCTTTAACTGTACTAAAGTCCAAACAGATGATCTAATAAACGGTCATCTGGGAATACTAACGTGATTTGGGAAACGATTTTAAGGTAGAACTAGGAACAGCTGAAGTCACAGGAAGGATGGGGAGAAGTTAGTTCAATATTTACGTACACGTAGGTTGCCTTTTTTGGCCAAAATTGTTGGCCAAAACATGCTGAGATTCTGGTGACTCTGGTGTGTCTACACTAATTATCAATCTGTGTCTTCTATGCAGCTCTTCACAGTGAGGATTCCAATTGTCACCATTATACTTCTGCATTTGTTTTCCCTTATTAAATAGTCTGGCAATTGTCATTTACTGAGACGTCAAAACAGAATAACCTGTGCTGCTCTCTCGGTACCTATACCAAACCGTAACAGTATAGTTTAATAAAAATACAAATAACAAAAATATTAATAAACCAAACCAAAACCATTAATAACAAAAACTACTGCATACCTGGTCCTAACTCCAGGTCTGGCACTGTGCAAGACACTCTTCAGAAGCTATTTACTCCGCACAATAATTGTAAGCAGTGACTATTACCCACATTTCACAGAGAGGTTACCTCTCGAAAGAGAGGTGTGGAGGCAGCAAGCACATGAGTTTTGACATTGGACAGCCCTGAATTTAAATCGTGCCCTGTCCCTGCCACTCCTCCCCCCCTAGAGATGATGAGGCGGCTCTGGGGATGAGATGACATTCAGTGTGTCTGAGTGGCTGGCCTCTAGGAAGTGCTTGTTTTTCCCTCTTTCCCATGGTTACTCATCTAGAAATTCAGGACTTGCTTTAAGTAGTGTCTTTATACAGTTTTAAAAGTAGCTACTGTATCTCCAGGAAAGTAATATAATATTGTACAGAATTTTAAAAATAATGAAGAGGCAGATAATCCCCAACACTTATGGAGAGCTTCATAGTATGCAATACCCTTTCATTCCTTCCAACCATTGGCTTATACGATCCTTCAAAAATAATTTAATGTCTCAGTCCATTTTCTTAGATTGGGTGTCTCTAAGAACATAGTACCATTGTCTGTGGGCCTTGAAAAATGCTAATCTAGGAAATGATGCACGAAGAAAGGCTCAAGCCTTTGCTTTCCCTTTTTCCCAGTCCTCTTGAGGCAGCCTGCCTTCTCCTGGGCATCTATGTGTGTGGAGGGGGCAGGGGTGGGAGGGTGGCCAGGGTTGGAGGTAAGTCAGGGGTGGAAGGGAGGGATGTGACGAGTAGCTGTTCTTTGATTTCCATGGTAAGGATGGCTAACACGGAAGGAATGTGTTACCTTTTTTTTTTATTATTAAAGAACATTTCATTTTTTTTTCTCCAGCTTATGAGAAAATCATCCTACACTTTTTCACTTAAACCAAAGCTATTTACTCTTCCTAGAGGGGTCTGAACTGAAAAGCTGTATTCATCCAGAGAGTGTGGTAAAAAAGCCCAGTACACTGCCTGACATACAGTAGCGGCTCAATAAATATTTGAAGTTACTGCAGGGTCTGCTGTGTGAACTGACTGTTGATATTGCAGAAGACAATATCGTGATTCCTGAAAGTTCCTAAAAAGGTTAGCCAAGCCTCACTCCTAGGCTAGCTTCTGAGGTCAGCAAGACTCACTTCTCAAATAATTGATTAGTTCAGAGGTCACACATGTTGACAGGTTGTTTTTTTTTTTTAAGCCTGCAAGTTCTCAAAACACATTTTGAGTCAACATTTAAAAACTGAGAGATTTCATATGCATTTATAGCTGACTTGCTACAGATAGAACCAATAGTACCTATCTGTCCCTTTTGGGGACTTGTGTTGGTGCCTGGATTATAACTCTTTTAGGCTAAATAAAAATCTATGTCACATTGTAACACCAGGGTAAAGGGTTCAGTTTCCCTAACAGGCCAGCTGACACCCTTCCCCTCCCCCAAAATTAGAAGTCTTGTTTCAGTTAGCTGTTTCAGGTTTTAACTTAATCCTGTATAGAACACACACACCTAACAAAAAACCAGAAAGTTCAAAATGTGTACATACAAAGACCAAACCCTCCTGCCCTCCGCTTTCTCTCTCCTGACTGTGCAGAGTCCCCACGACTGATCTGTAAAGCCCTGGTTCTCAAACCCTCCCCTTCACCAGCTCTTGCTGACTGGAGGTGCGAGGAGGAGAGACTGCCTGTCCCTGACTTACTGATGCTTTACAAAGGCCCCATCAGAACTGGGAAGGAATTCTTGATGAGAGCAGGGAGGTGAGAATTAAAATCCCACTCGTATAAAAAGTTACGTTAAAGCAGTTTGTCATCTAGAAGACGTCATTTAGGGTTTCATAGAAATTAATCAAGTAAGAGAAATAAGATAGAATGATTTTCACTTAATATTTAAAATATATATTAAAGTACTAAAAGTCCCCTCACTTTAAAATTGCCCTTATAAGAGGTGGCTGGACTCCACTATTGTCCCTTTCTGAATTGATGCCACCTTCCTCCTGGACCTTGCTGCTGATCCAGTGTGGTCCCCTGAAGTCACACAGCCTCCATCCCTTTCCCTTGATGCTGAAGGGACACTTCCAGCCTTTGCATGGCCCCTCCACGTTCCTTCCCCACTTGGTTTTTTCACCTCTCCCCAGCCCACCACAAGTACACCTCAAAGATATTTCAGTCATATGCATTATATAGGAATAGTAGCAAATACTTATTCGGCACCAACTACGTGGCAAGCACAAGACTAACTATTTGAGAGAGTTCAACCCATTCGTAACCACCACCGTCATCTGAGGCTCGCCCTGTGGTGGTTGCAGACGCGCGCTGAGCAGCCAGACTGCTGGGTGGATTTTATTCAGCCTTGCGAGCCACTTCTGGGGCGGCCCCAACGCCGTCTATGGGGCTCCTTCCAGTTCTAGGAGTCTATGATTGCTGCCGCCACTGTTAAGGATGCAAAGTTTACAGAAGCCCACGTTGCCATATGGGAAAGAAACTTCCTTTTGACACGCCCTCCTATTTCCCATTAAAAGAGGACAACCCAGATTAATTCTGGGTAAAACTGCGACCCCTTGAGACTGTCCCCTCACCTTACTCCACTAAACCGAGGACCCCGCACCCCCTCTACTGAACTCGAGGTGCCAACCGATGCCAGCAGGAAGCTGAATCAAGATAGAGGGTTAAATCCTGCCAGTGTAGAAATGCAGTTTCCTCCAGTTAGCCTGGATAATTGCAGTTTCCTCAATCCAAGTCTGTCATTAAAGTCCACCCCAAGGAGGTTCCACGGACAAAACCCCAGCGACTGTCGCTGACGTGTGCCCAGCGATCAGCCCCGGCAGGCAGGACGCAGTCAGCTGAGCCCGCCGCCCAGCGCGCTCACGCGGACATCCTACACACAGGCGTCTGGAACCTCCTGTCCCTGCTCCCGGCTCTGCGTCGGGACCCACTCTGCAGGCTCGGGAAGTCTCACCCGGGCGTGACACCCCCAAGGCACGCAGGTTCCCCGACCCGGACCCAGCCTCGCTCGCCCTCCTGTCCCCGCTCTTGCGCCTGCGCCCGGGAGGGTGGGACGCGAGCGCCGGGTGGCTGGCGCGGCACGGCTGGAGGGACGGCGGAGGGCAGGCGACTCGGAGCCTACCGTCCTCTGCTTCTTGACCCCCGACATGCTGGCTGGCTGGCGGCGGCAGAGCTCGGGTCCAGGGAGCAGAGGCCGAAGGACGCGCGGATGGCGGCGGCTGCCGGGCTCCCGGGAAGGAGGTATAAAAGGCCCCGCAGACACGTCGCACTTCCCTTGACCAGCCCCCTCCCCCTACTCCTCCTCCCGCCGCGCTCCTCTCCGCCCCGTCGGCTCCGCCAGCAGCGCCCAACCCCGGGGACCCGGCCG